CTGTAGATCTGAAAATTATATCAGGGGTCCCCCGAGATCTCAGACTTTTTGCCAGGGGTTTCTCGAAGGCAAGAAGGTTGAAGAATACTGGTATACAGTATAACAGTATGTGGAACAAAACAATTGTGACAAGATTTTGTTTGTTTTCTAGTATGTTTTCTGAATTGTGGATTTTTTCTATTGTTAAAGAACTTTGGTCAATGAATTTTCAATATTAAATTGTATTGTTGGTTTGAGTTTTCCTCTAAAATCCTGCCAGACAAATTGTTCGTTTCTATTGAATTTTCATTAGGGGTGTGGCACATATTTGCCAAACTTTGAAATCTTTATACATGACCTTACTTATATCTTTTCTATCTGTTTGGGGTTCAGCTTAGAATACGACTAATCAATCCATTTTAGCGCTAGCAGCATCACTCAGACAGAGAGAAGAGGACCAACCCAATGAGCTAGTCAGGATCTTCTGTGCTAGTGAGCATACTGATAGAAGAAGATATCAGAATGAACAGCGAATAACCTATTAATGTGCTGCTCCTTCTTTTGTCCAGTAAGTACACTCCAGATTAATCTCGATCAAGCTGTTCTGCTGCTGTACTGGAGGTGGCTGTGCTGTCTGCATGTAATAGGGTGATTACACAAGAACACAATTGGGAAATTTGTCATGCCATAAAGAGGTTCATGGTAAGATCACAAGTTATTTTTAAAACAGGTAAATGTGATCAAAGAGCAGCATAATTATTCATTGGAACAGGCATTCAAGTCAAACACCCAATTTTCCATTCATACAACATATCTTGAGTGCTAAAGTTTAGCTTTAAAATGCCACTGTGTAATGCCCCTATGTTTGGCATATGTATTACTAGATTAATATATCATCTTTATATTATGTTATTTGTAGCTTGAACTGCAGCTAGAATTAGAATTCACAGAGCAAAAGCCTTGAATACAACAGAGATACAACATGATCAGCTTAGCCCAGTGTTATATCAAGAATCTGGAGGATAGCTACTGCTGGAATCCCATTCTGTTGCTGAGATGTTTATTTTAATCCTGTAAGACTAGAGCTGGCAATAGAAGATCCAATTTGAACAGATGGTTCAGATTCCTCCATCTACACAAGTGAGGTAGATGGATGCATTCCCCTTGCCAGGACATTGTACCCATCAGGGCTCTCTACTATCAGGATAAAGCACCTGCAGTCAACTGGCAATTGACAAAAGGTTTCTAACATTTTTGTTCAACAGAAGTTGATCTAATGATCTACTTCTGTCAAACAGGAATAGCTACACATGGATCAAAATTAGGCAGGTCCCTGCTGTACCAGACAAAATGTGGTCCATCTATGGCCAGCTTAAAGCAGCTGCTGACTTTTAAAATACAGACACTTAGCTGTCAATTGGTCCAGTGGTGTCCTCACCATGGCTGGTTTCACCGGCCGTCTTCTCTCCCCAGCGCCGGCATCTTCAGTGTGGGCACCCAGCTGTGACAGCTTGTGGCTTTACAGCCAGGTGCCTGCTGCACAAGCACGAGTAGCACTGCGCTTTATGAATGATCCCGTAGTCTTCTGGGACCTGTCATGTGTCCCAGAAGACTACAGTGGAGGAAGGGGGAGGATAACTTCTGCTTCCAATTGCCTTAGCCGATCGCACCAGAAGTGCGAGTGGGTACCTGTCAAATTCAGATACCCGCTCCTCCCTGCTCCCCAAAGGTGCCAATCCTTAAGGGTACGCGGGGGACAAAGCCTTAAAGGGGAACGTTTGTGTGGAGCTCCGCTTCAAGACTAAAAAGTGTGTTGTCAGTGCTTTCAGCACCATCACACTTTGAATGACCATTCCTCAGGCATGCAACACAGTAACCAAATTACATTTTTATCATTTTTTTTAGAAAGAGAGAGCTTTCTTTTGGTGGTATTTAATCACCACTGGTTTTTCTTTTTGCTATATAAACAAAAAAATACCAAACATTTTGAAAAAAAATTTTTTTCTCATTCTCTTTTATAACATTTTACAAATAAATAATCTGTCTTCATAAATTTAGGCCAAATGAAGGAAGGAAGGGAGGAAGGGAGGGAGGGAGGGAGGGAGGGAGGAAAGGAAAGGAAGGGAGGGAAGGAGGAAGGAAAGGAAGGGAGGGAAGGAAGGAGGAAGGAAAGGAAGGGAGGGAAGGAAGGAGGAAGGAGGGAGGAAAGGAGGAAGGAAGGAAGGAAAGGGAGGGAGGAAGAAAAGGAAAGGAATGAAGGGAGGGAGGGAGGGAGGGAGGGAGGGAAGAAAGGAAGGAAGGAAGGAAGGAAGGAAGGAAGGAAGGAAGGAAGGAAGGAAGGAAGGAAGGAAAGGGAAAATTAAGGAAAGGAGGGAAGGAAGTAAAGAAGGAAGGGAAGGAAGGGAGGGAGGAAGGAAAGGAGGGAGGGCTCACATGGATGGTTTTTGACTCACATGCTCAGTCAAAAGCATCACAAAGCTGCTGGCTGCTATGTATACAATTTCCCGCCCACACATACCCCTTCTGAGAAGCTACATGGGCTGGAATGTGGGGGGGTATGGGGGGAGACAGAGCAGATCCAGCCTCTCTCCTCTCCTATTGGTATGGAGGATGGGGGGGAAGGGCTGGGCACTGAGGAGCACACTGGGGGCCTGGAAAGATATTGAAATCCTCAGATGGCCGGGGATGAAGCTGCTTCTCCTCCTCTCCCTCCTGTGGCTTTCAGCTGCTTCATTGAAAGCCATAGAGGGAAATTGGTGCTTTTAACTGCCCCACCCTCTGACCCCTATTCCTGGTGCTGCTTGCCCCCATATTATTTCCACTTGCCAAATGCGAGCAGTCGAGTGGAAATTTTGAGGGCTGGTATATACGGCATATTTGAAAATTGATCAGTCCTGATGTACTGAACATGGAGAGTTTTAATTTTATTTTTCTGTCACAATGAAAATGAGGAAACAAAATAAAATTTGTTGTTTTTTTTCCACAATGTTTTTTACATAATGTCACCAGAGCAGTACAGCATGATCATATGACAAATTTTAAAAATGTTTTTTCTTTTTTTTTAGATTTTTTTTTTACATACTGGGGTTTATTTACTAAAGCTGGTTCACTCAGAATCTTGTCCACTTCAGCATAGAAACTAATCAGCTTCCAGGTTTTATTGCGAAAGTTTAATTGAGTTAGCTGGAATTGGAAGCTGGTTGGCTACCATCCACAGCTGCACCAGTGTCTCTATTTAATGACTATGTAACAAAGCAAAACTTCAAAGTGTATATCTAACCATTAAACTTTTCTAAACGCTTTGGGGGGGATTTACTAAAACCGGTGCACATATAATCTGGTGCAGATGTGCATAGTAACTAATCAGCTTCCAGGTGTTTAGCCTTGGTTCACACAGGTGTGACTTCAGGTGCGACATTCAATTTACAAATTGCACCTGAAGTCACATCTAATGTATTTCTATGGCACTGTTTTAATCAGTGCGATTTGAAGTAGCCCAATTTCAAAAATAGTTCTTGCACTACTTTTTGATTTCATTGCGACTTGCATTGACTTGTGTTAAATGTAGTCATAAGCCTTAGTGAAATCGGTGGTACAAATCACACTGATCTGCATCTTTGAATTCGAGCTACTTCAAGTGAAATAGTGCGATTTCAAAGTCACATTCACTGTAAACCAGGGCTTATTTTTTTGTTTTTTATTTTGGTCAGAGTGGGAGAAGGATTAGATCCTCTGTAAATTTGTTTTTGCTGCATGTGTCCTCACTGAGCTGATATACCTCTATATTTCTCCTGTTAACCATTGAAGCTGAGACATTGGAAGAGAAAATCCAAAAAGTTAATGTTGTCACTAGAGCAGAGGTAAGGGACAAATGTTCCTTTGACATCTGTCTAAAATGGGATATTCTCAGAAAGCTTCCTCTTGCTTCCTGTTGCATCTCTAGAACACAAATTATAGGGAAACCCACTGACAGGATACAGACAGCAAAAAAAATAATTTGTTAATAATTTAATACATTTATTTATGTTATTAATAACATTTATTTACCCTGCAATGTAATGTTCAAAATAAACAATTCTTTTCAATTTCTCAAAAAAAATATTATGCTGTTTAAATAAAACTCTAAACATAATCTTCTATTTTATACAATTACAGGGATATTGACATTTTGTGCACATTTTGATTTTTCAAGCCCTTTGCATATAAGCACTTTACATTACAATATGACCAAAATTTCACTAAAAGCCCTTCATTTGCAATTGCAAAGACCCCAAAATATAAATTTGCGTATTATTTTAGTTTATGAACTATTTTATCACAAGGGAGCATATTTAGAAAGCAATGAAGTAACAATCCCTGACTTTTTATCCTAGAAATTGGCCAGTACTGTTTTTCATGGTAGCATCGACCCCCACTGGAGCCGTTGATGATGGTACATCTTTTGTTCTGCCACAACCTCTCAATCCCCTTTTACACACTTTGTTGCACACACAGAAATCCATTAACACCTGTGTGACTTAAGAGATAGTAAGCCACCACTCAAAAAATAATGCACACAAATAGGCCACAAACAACTTGGAGGTAAATTAATCAAAATCCTTTCCATCAAGGTGGTGCCGTTCAAACTGAAAGGATATTACAGCTCACCCTGGAGATTATCTACCTGCTGACAGGGGAGGCTTCTTTTTTATGGTTGGCCCTGAGGAGAAGGAGATGGAGGTATAACAGGTTAGAGAAGACAGACCTGGGTGGAAAGAGAACACAGTGGCTTGAGAATCCATTGTATGTGGGAAAATTGCACAGAGAATTTATGGTGACATTATGCACTAAATGTAAGAAAATTTGTGATATATTGCATTGTATTAGTATATGTGAGAGGGAGGTGTATTGTAGCACATTAATATTTGTGTAACCCCTATATGCTATATTGCCAAAAGTATTGGGACACCCCTCCAAATCATTGGATTCAGGTGTTCCAGTCACCTTCATGGCCTCAGGTGTATAAAATCTAGCACCTAGGTATGCAGACTGTTTCTACAAACATTTGTGAAAGAATGAGTTGCTCTCAGGAGCTCAGTGAATTCAAATGTGGTACCGTGATAGATTGCCACCTGTGCAATAAGTTCATCCATGAAATTTCGTTGCTACTAAATATTACACGCTTAACTGTTAGTGGTATTATAACAAAGTGGAAGCAACTGGGAATGACAGCAACTCAGCCACCAAGTGGTAAGCTATGTAAAATGACAGAGCGAGGTCAGCGCATGCTGATGCGCACAGTGAGCAAAAGTCGCCAACTGTCTGCAAAGTCAATAGCTAAAGACCTGTAAACTTCATGTGGCCTTCAGATTAGCACAACAGCAGTGCGTAGAGAGCTTCATGGAATGGGTTTCTATGGCCAAGCAGCTGCATCCAAGCTTTACATCACCAAGTGCAATGCAAAGTGTCGTTTGCAGTGATGTAAAGCATGCCGCCACTGGACTCTAGGAAGTGGAGACCTGTTCTCTGGAGTGACAAATCACACTTCTCTGTCTGGCAATCTAATGAACGTGTCTGGGTTTGGCAGTTGCCAGGAGAACGGTACTTGCCTAACTACATTCTGCCAAGTGTAAAGTTTGGTGGAGGGGGGATTATGGTGTGGGGTTGTTTTTCAGGGGTTGGGCTTGGCCTCTTAGTGCCGGTGAAGTGAACTCTTAAGGTATCAGCATACCAAGACATTTTGGACAATTTCATGCTCGCAACTTTGTGGAAACAGTTTGGGGATGTCCCCTTTCCTGTTCCAACATGACTGCACACCAGTGCACACACCAAGGTCCATAAAGTCATGGATGTGTGATTTTGGGGTGGAGGAACTTGACTGGCCTACACAGAGTCCTGACCTCAACCCAATAGAACACCTTTGGGATGAATTAGAGCGGAGACTGCGAGCCAGGCCTTCTCGTTCGACATCAGTGCCTTACCTCACAAGTGAACAAATGAAAGAGTGGTCAAACATTCCCATAGACACACTCCTAAACCTTGTGGACAGTCTTCTCAGAAGAGTTGAAGCTGTTATAGGGTACAAAGGGTGGGCCAACTCAATACTGAACTCTACGAACTAAGACTGGGATGCCATTAAAGTGTGTGGCATCCCAATACTTTTGGCAATATAGTGTATGAATTTTGTTCAGGTACACATGTACGCATGCACCTGTCAATGTGATAGGTTGCATATAATTAGTATGAATGGGGGGTGGGTGTATTGTAGCACATTCTTTTTTGATTTTTGCTTATTTATTCCTTGTAGTTCACATGGTTTGTTTAGGTATGCATGAAGATGTAATGTAATTATGACTAATGTCTTAGAAAGGGGGAGGTGTATTATAATTCATAAGAGCTACACCCACACATTTTTTGCTGTTATCTTCTATCATTTTGGTAGGGTATATAATTAGGTGTTTGAACAGCTATACTGGTTTTATCATTGTTTTTATTTATTAGTTAATATAGTAGCTCAGGAACACCTATTTACTTCTCAGCATCTGGTCTTGCCTTCGAAAAGTCCACTGCCTGTTAGTCTCCATTACCAAATATGGTGCAAAGCCCCTTTAAGAACTACATTTCCCATAATCTATGGCGACTGCCTTTGATGGTCCACAACTGTTGGTCTGTCGATTGGCTCCAACCATGCTGCCAGGAGGGAGGGGGTGAAGGAGCTAGCAGGGTATCAACACAGCCCACTCATTTAGCAGCAGGAAAGTGAGGGAACAGAATGGGCTGCATGCACACAGCCCAGCACTCCTGTCACAGTATGCAGTGTCCCGAAGGGGGAGCAGAAAAGAATAGCACCCACACTGCAACCTCTCCTGTCATAAACTGCAGCTCCAGTGCTAGGGTGGGGAAATGCAAGCAGAAGAATACACACTGAAGTCCCAATCCACACACGGCCAGCAGCACAGTGGTGGGAAAGGTGAGGGTGGCGAGCAGAGGCAAGAGAGCCAGCTACACCTGGCTACATTGACATTTGGCTCCCTTTGACTTCATTGGGTTTGGATTCAGCACCTGAACTTCAGTAGTGGTTGTCAAACCAACCTGAACAATTGAGTACTGTCCATGATACTTTTTTTATTTGCACTAATATATAATTTTCAGGACAAGCTTTTGGGGTATGTCACCTTCTTCAAGGTCCAAGCAGTACTACTTCACAAAGTTTTAGCAGAATGTTAAAAGAAAAAAAAACTGAAAAAACACACAAACAAATGTACACAGCAATGGTTATAAAACTAGGATTAGACTAGAGATAAGACAGAGCAAAAGCAAAGACTGGAGATGGGGGTGGGGGGGGGGGTTCTTGTTCAAAACAACCTGGAACTGAATCCACGTACGTCCCTACCACTTAGCTGCAGACAACACGGTAGCCCACTACTGCCTGAGGAGGTAAGCAAGCACTTACATGGAGTGGGTGGTTGCTAGGCTGTGAATGTTTAGGAGGCTGGGAGGTTTTTTCTAACAAAAAAAAAATCATTTTGTCTTTTAAATCGGTTTAAACTTGCTATTTCACGTACAAATTACCAGGAAGAACTCTGAATTTGTCAATTCTAAACTCTAAGGCAAGTTTTTCAAATGAAACTATAGCAATATTACTACTGGTAGTGAAGGAGATGTTAGTGAAGATGAGGGTGTATGTTGACTCTAAATGAAGGGTGGAATATTGTATTCTTTACTTTTTTCTAATGTAAGCTTAAAGTAAACAGAGACAGCACAGTGAGTGGAAAGATGGTTATTTGCCAGAAGTAAAATCTATTAGCCTGGATAAACAAAAACATTAAGTGAGCACCAAGAAAAAATACAGAGGTAAGCCGAACAACTCAGCCCTACTAAGAACAAAAGATGTTTTTTTCTACTGTGGAATGATTGTGACATGACGTTAAGTCCTCTGACTAAAGTTAATTTACTGGCCGATATAAAATACACAACTTATTACAGCCCAATCCTCATGAATACATCAATAAATATATTTTTTAATACAAGCAGTGAGCACTGTAGGAGATACTTGACACACTGTTTACCTGCTTTGATATAATACATTTACGTAACCTACCATCCGGGAGGCTGTGACCTAATTTATGTGCCATATTATATAGTGGTGACTTACTAATGCTTAAGTTATCCAGGTGTGAGTTGTGGCAGAACAGAGAACCTATCATCACCAGTGGCTCCTGTGGGGTAAGCGCTACACACCAAAAGGACCACATTTTATAAAATTGAAGGCGACAGTTCCAGTTACCTCACATAAGCTGTTTATAGGGGGTGGTTTGATTGATTAATGACTTCCACTGGACTACAGTATGGGATGATAAGTTCATCCATTTAATGGCTATGACTTACAACCTATGAATACTTTTTCTCTCAAAAATATTCTAGTGCAATGTGGCCATTTCTCTTTATCTAATATACCGAACAAACATATGCCACGTGTACAGTGGAGAGTGAATTGCAATATATTGGAATGCAAGAAGAGTATCCACTCCCAAAACTCACTAGATCACCACAAGATCACCAGACAACCCCAAATGAGGTGCATAAAATTTGCTTGTGGTTGAGTATGTTGTATGCAATTAGAGGTATGAATACATCTCATTTTGTGCAAACAAGCAGAAGATAGATAAATTGGATGAATAATATAACCTGTTTCACCTGTTTTTAACCACTGGTGAGAAGTGAGAAGAGCAAAATATCATCCCATTTCTCTATGAATATATTTGACTTTAGGATTAGCTAGAGTGGAAGGGTTCACCCAACTTAAGCTGGGTCTATTTAAATTTCAGCTGATTCCTGTGGAACCAGATGAAAATCACTATGTGGGTGACTCTGTTAGCCATCTCCTGCTCATCATCCTTTGAACAAAAAAAATCAAAGGAGCGAGGCGGAAAATTGTCAACTGAACATTGGCCGCATCCAATCAGATGTTTGTGTTCTGACAGGTGGTGGCTGCGGTTGTCAGAATACAATAGTTGCAGCAGGAGACTCCCTTATCTGTGGTCAAAAGCATACATGGGGGAACCTGTTAGATTGTTTTTGTTCAGCCCACAGGTTATACAAAAATAATCTATGTGTGTATACCCAGCTTTAGTGTGTAGCAAATGAGAATAAAGTGTGGAAATTCATTTTTTTTTAATCTTGTGATGCTAAAAACTCCTATTAGTGGGCAGCTGGAGATGGGTGTATCATGGTCTCTAAATTGTGTCTCCAAACCATGATGTAATTGTAGATATCTGTAGAAGGCACTGTGGAGTGATTCATATTTCTCCTGCAATGGCATATAGGAAAGCAGTGAAACCTCCTAGCACACACTTGAAAAGGTTATAGAACCATGGAATCTCCAAAAAGCTGTTTTGGGGATTGTGCAAGCTGTTCCAAGATAGGACTATGTCATAAGGATAGGCTATCTGGTAGACCCCAAAATAAAATTAACTGCTTAGTTGCAGTCCACACTGACCTGGCCAGTTTTACGATGAGCAGAAGGAATTATTATTTTTTTTTAATCCTTTAAAAAAGTTAAACATTCAATTCCAAATTTAAATTTCTCCATTGTCTATGGAATTCCTAAATGATCAGTGTGTTGTATTTAGGCAGCCAACTCTGCAATTCAGAAAACCAACCACCTCAGCCAAGGCTCTCTACACACAGCAAAAAACAACACATTCACATACATTATAACACCTTTAGCAGAGAAGGAACAGAAACACCCAAGAAACAGAGAGGTTGGGCCTTTCAAAATTGTGGTTTTAAAGGTTATCACCTTTTAAAGTGTATCCTTGTTGTTTCTGTTAAGGCCAACAAGTTAAAATACGCTTCTCATATTCTTTACAGTCTCAAAAGGGATCTTCAATATCTCTGGATCATACAGCTGAACCTCTAGTAATGTTGTGTACCTTATTCAGTGCAGAAAATGTAGCAAAGGATCTTATGTTGGCGAAACAGGACAGAAGTTGCAAACAAGGATGAATTTGCACAGACATACCATCAAGGAACATAAAGAAGATGACCTTTGCACACCTGTGGGAGACCATTTCTCATAACCAGACCATACAATGGAAGACCTCAATATTTTAGTTCTTAAAGGAAATTTGAAATCCATTCAGGAAAGAAAAACTTTTGAACTAAGAATGATAATTCTATTTGACACAAGAGATAACTGCCTAAATTTGGACATGGGATTCCTCAATCATGATCCAACAGTTTTATGACTATCAGCTCAAGCATGACTGCCTCTGCTAGTGTTGTCTTCCCCCCTCCCCCCCAGACTTTGCTTTTGCTGTGTCTTATCTCTGTGTCTTTTTTTCCCATCCCCTACATCTCTTCTAACATTCTGCTAAATCTTTGTTTCAGTACTGCTTAGACCTGAAGAAGGGGAAATTCCCAGAAAGCTTGTCCTCAAAATTGTATGTTAGTGTAAATAAAAAAAGTATCACTGACAGTACTCAATTGTTCCAGTCTCTGGTATT